TTCTTTACCTATCGAAGAACAATACTCTTGCCAGTATTTCTTTTTGCCTCCTAGCCTGAGCTCTTTCCTCCTGATATTTTACTACTGCCTCTATATTCAATGTTCTTTTTAGGATTCTAAAAGCTTTATTTCTATTTTTAATAGCATTAGAACATTCTTCATTCCACCATGGAACCACTTTATCCCTTCGGTTTCCTTTTGCTTTCGTAATGGATTCTTCTGCTGCTCTGATTAAAACTGAACTCAATCTCTCTGAGCACTCTTCAATATCCTCTTCCATATGAAATCCCAACAGCTCTGTCTTACATATAAAATTACATTTCTCCCAATCTGCTTTCTCAAATTTCCATCTTTGATGTTCAAATACCATATCCCTCTTTACTTCTACTCCTACTGTACTAATTATTGGATAATGATCGCTCCCAATTGTCGACTGATCTAGTACTTTCCAGTGACATTTAACTGCTATAATTGCTGACACTACTGTTAGATCTATGCACGATTTTGATTGATCCCTTATATTGAACCTTGTTCCTACTTCCGCATTCTTCTTCTTCTTCTTCTTCTTTATTTCCGGCAGTGTGGACGCTACTGGGCGTATTACTGCCCTCCACAGGTCAAAGTGTGAACTCAATTCTTATATACAGTCCTGTATTACGCAAGAACTGAAGAACTGCCTCAGAGATCAGTTTGTGTTCATCACTGTGTCCAAACAAAGAAGTAACAGAAAACACTTTAACTCCAAATTCTGCCAATTTATCAAAAAGTGCTTTTCTTTCTGCATTATACTTCCTGCATTCCAAGACAACACGCCCTACTGTTTCCATATCCCCACATTCACATAATCCAGAAATATGCTTTCCTACAATATACAAAAAGTAATTTTGCTTCCGCATTCCTCGGGGCCTGTGGAAGCCTGTGGCAGAGTTCCTCAGCGGCTCTGCTCAAAACTCTCCAAGTATCGCCAGACAACATGATCTGGAATAATACATCTCACAAACTGAAGAAATGTGTTTTAGGGCTCTTAAAGTCCTGAACTGTGATGATACAAACAGCACATTTAAAATTAATTACATTAATTGGTTAAAAATATGCTTGCTTGGGTCATATAAAACCAAAACAAATCTTTAGAATCGACTCTTAACTTTCTTATCCTTGTGGCAAAAACAAACAAAAATGTCTTAAGAAAATACCTACTCTTAAAGATGTATTTTGTGATTTAATCAAATCACTAAGAATAATTATTCATACAAAAATGTAGGTCTTTTCTTTAGAAACATGATGAGATCTGTCATGCACCATGCCTTTTTTCTCCTCTTCCTTTTGTTTTTGTGAGAAATGGATTGCACTTGTGTAATACGTGCTTTTGCTGGAAATGCTCTGTGTTTGCTTATGTTTATAAACATATCTGTACTTGCATATTTTGCAATAATAATAATAACTATCCAAGTATCGGTGGTCTTGAATTTGTGCTGAAATGTGCTTGTAGTCGTTACAGAGTTATTCAACCATCAGAGGTGCATAATCAGCTCCTACTTTTTATTGTTGGAAAATTATATTTACCCGAACTTTCCCCCTCAACAATCATGAATGCATTTAAAAGACATTGCTTTTGTTTAAAATGTACTGAATGCATAACCTCACGGATATTTTTGGTAAGAATTAGGTCATTTTTTTCTTCTGGAAACACTCTTCAAGAAAAAAGGTGCATTACTAAATAAGCGTGAGCTGTGCAAATATCCCGTGACATAATGATTACTACATAATCTATCCCAGTAACAATTATAATTTTAAATGCATTATTTAATTAAATAAGACGTGTGCATGTTGGAGCATAAACTGTCCAGTAGAGGGCGCTACACGCGACGACTCGTGACGTAGGGAGGCTATGGCGGAAGTGACGGCAGAGGCGCCTAAAGTTTGAATTTGCGGCAGTTGACGACGAGGGACCCAAGCGTAAACCCGGTTAGTACAACAGTTGGGTATTAATGGTCGAGTTTCAATAATGTCGGACCAACAATGTGAACAAGATGGTAATAATTATAATTCTGTATCTCGGAGTTCCCCGAGGCAGAGCTTTCTGAGGCTTGAGTGTTTGTTGTGGCTCTGGACAGCGGCTCGCGTCGGTGCACAGCGAGCGAAGAGAGTCCGTTGATGAATGCGGGTTGTGTGTTGCAGCGGCAGGCATGAGTGAAAACACCTTCCCGGTGTACAAGCTGGATGCCATCGTGCAGTTCTACCGAACCGAGGTTTTGACCGGACAAGAGGCCAAGCATTTCACCAAGAATGAGATTACTCCCAATCCGAAGGTAAAATATAATTATCCGCATGTGCAGGTCTTGCTGAACTGCTCCGGGTTTCCAGAGAGCTCGAAAACGACGGATTTCTGACACGGTGAGCGTGACGGGAAGTTCGGATCATTTTACTGAGTCGGTTCTTTGAATCGTTCAGCAGAACGAACGAATCACTTTTCAAATAATTTCGTTCGTCTCAGCAGAATTTAACCCAACACATCTATTGACTCAAACATTGATCACGTTATATAAACTATAATGCGATTATAAGAAATTGGGTCTTGACTGGCTGCAGTCCTCGGGGCGTTCATTCTTCTCTAGTTACTGATTCTTTCAAGTGATTCGTTCGTTTTCAGTTCGTTCACCAAAATGATTCGTTCACTGATTCGTTCAGTGGCCATTTCTTCAGATGACATCAATACACCAGCAGGTGGCGAAAAATAGTGTCTTGTCTTATGTCTACTTTTACATACGTATTTACTTCTTACAGAAAACTGATTTGGCTTTATCAAAATGTGTGCACAATCTACTCATTAAAGAAATAGTCTAAATAGGTTGTTCAGATAGCCGAAGCACAAGGTTTTCTTGCATAATTAACATTTTCATTGTTTGGTCAGACATTTACACATTCATACATCGGGGATTAAACGTGGAGTTATGTTCTGTATGCTAAATATGAATATATATATATAAACAAGCGTATGTGCACAGTGCTCTCTGCTGATCGCTGATCGAGATTGATAGGCTACTAAATGGCCGACTGACCAGGTACACATCTCTCGATCTCGTTCAGACTCAACAGAAACTCGTTCAGTGAAGGGCGAATTCGTTCACTACATTCAACAAATCACATGCTCCGTCGCATCTCATACTCGAAGGCTGTTGGCTCGAGGTTTAGTCATTCTTTGACTGCTCTGGAGGGAGGAATAGCAGTCAATGGATTACGAGAACGATTCGTTCACCTAAAAGATTTGTTCAAAAAGAACGATTCGTTCACGAACGTAACATCACTATTCTGCTTCCCCGATCAATATCTTATGGCTCGTTTCCACTGAGCGGTACCAACCCTCTACGCACACCGTGGCAATATAATCGCCATTGGCTAGTACATTTTTTTTGTTTACTCGCCAGACTGATAGACTATTTTACACACACACACACACACACACACACACACACACACGTTTACTTAGCTATCTAAATTGGGACATTACATAGACTTCGATTGTTTTTATATACAGATAGTTAGACACTTTTTAACCTAAACCCACCCCTACCCCTCACAGAAAACTTTTAATTTTTACTATTTCAAAAGTAAAAAAAAAACATAGTTTACTTTATTTTTATAACAGTTTTACAAATGAGGACATCCACAAATTGAGGTTTTTGCCGATTTTGTCATGTTTTGCTCACTTTTGGGTACAAATTTGTCCCCAAAATATGGTTAAGTAGGTACGCACGCGTGCGCGCACATACTGGCGAGTAAAATCTAAGAATTTATTAGCCAATGGCTAATGTTAGATATTATTTAGTCCCCCAGAGTAAGATTTAGTCGCATATGCGAGTGATTTACTCGCAATGTAGAGGGTTGGGTTCGGTACAGTACAGTACGCAATTATTTTCGTTTCCACTGTCAGAAGTTGAAATGGTACCAAACTAGCGAACCGTACCGTACCACTTTTAGGAAAGGGTACCAAAAGGGAGGAGCTAAACTCACCGCAGAACGTTGATTGGTTGACTAGAATCATCACTTTTGCGTGATACAAGGGGATAAAGCTTCTCCTTCACTCGTTCCTCTCTGCTGTCCATGAGTGTTGGGCTTATTTACATCAGAGTGTGCAAACACACAAAAATGTAACCGTGTGTTTTATAATTTTATATTTTCACACAGACAATAGCAGTTTCTCAATATGCGTTCTTGTGGAACGTCATTGCCCAAATACCCGCGTGATTTTCTAAATTACTGTTATTGTGTCATGAAATGTAGTTTTAAGAGTTTTTTAGGCGAGAATGTAATTGTTTAAAACTCAAATCTGTGGTTTATTTATAAAGATAGCACCTATTTGAAAATGTGCTATGCCGATTTCGGAGCTCCAGGCGATCACTGGCTCTGATGTCTCTGTAGTGATTAAACACGAGAGACCATTTGTTTTGGGTAGGCTATATTTAGGGCTGCACGATAAATCGCATGCGATATTTAACTACACAGAGCCGTGGTTTGGTGCAGCTTGTCGGTGAACAACGGCTCTGTGTAGTTAATGCTGCTCAATGTGAAAGCACGCAGGTGATGGAGATTTACCCTGATTACAGAACCGGCTTTCTGACAAGATGCACGTTAAATATCGCATGCGATTTATCGTGCAGCCCTAGCTATATTTAACAGGCATTCGTGGTCTCATGAATCTATTATTTATTCCTGGTCATATCGTTTTGGCCGAGCACAAAGTTATGTTTAACTTTATATTTATTTTGAACTTTACCGTAGTACAGCACTGACTTTGTAGCATACATTTGACTGAATTGTTTGCTTTTGTCTTTATTTCCTCTTATATAAGCCTCTTATACTTTGTACTTATACTTTTATAATGGCTATTATTGTTCATTAAAACTGACATTTAACAAAAAGAGGCAGAGTTTTGCTTATTGTTGCGCTTTATCGTCGATCGCTACTTTCCGGCATACACCACGTCTATCAAGAAGGGTACTATTGGCAGTGGAAACGCAAGTACTGAATCGTACTGTACTGAACCCAGTGGTGTAGTCTAGTTTTTTGTAGTGGGTATACTCTGATATTCCCTCCCAGCCTCATACTCACCGTGCCACAGCCCATAAGCACCACCACACTCACTAATTCATACAATATGCATCTATGTAACCGAGAGCATTCTGAACGACTGCTTATGTGATATCAACATGTCAATTTATTATAAGTAACAGAAGACTTTAACAGACAATGACATTTGCAGCTGGTGTGACTGGACTGATTATGTTTTATCAGCTGGCAATTTTCAATGCACATTTAAGAGTGCCTGTTTTTAAATTCCCTAGCTTGACTTTCAGTCCACAAGTTTGGTCAGGAGTTCTCATCTCTCCCATCATCTGAAACCTTGTATTGAGTTTAACTGCTGTACAGACACACATATACAGTATATGTGTTATCTCTCCCCTTCTCCTGCATTCACTGATCCACCACACTAACGTTACTTAAATTATTAGCTAGTTAAACTATTTAAACGTATTATTCTTCTTCTGAGACCAGTAATTGTCAACTGTCCTGTATATCCTCCCAGGGCTTTAATGCTACAGGCACCAAACTCAGAGACCTTGGATCTGATCTATAGTTTGTTTCTATATATTTTCTAACTGATGAGACTTACAATTCTTGTATAAATAATTCTCAAAAATCAAAGCTTTCCCATAGACTTGCATTAGCTGAGCAAAAATGCCCTCTCTAGAGGACAACTGCAGTCCACTAGAGGGAGCCACAGGATAAGAAATCTTTCAACTCCCCTCATTTACTTTCGTTTTCAGACACTAATAATTGCATACTTTTCCTTTATGCCGCCAAGCAAAGCTAACATTTGATCATGACCAGGTCAGGTAGTGACTATCTGATGTCCAGAGGCCAGTGTGAAAGACGTTCAGGACAGTTGACTGATCTGTCACTGCTTAAAAGCAACGCTGGCCCAGTGTTTATTTATTATTTTACTCATTTTTTTGTTTGTTGCCCTGCCACTATTTTCACTGACCCCACAGAAGAATGATGTTTTTAGATGTTTATTTTTAGACACACATTTTTTTGTTTTGTTTAATACAAAATGACAAAACTGGGGGACTTATTGCACACCTTTGCAGTCCTGCCTACTTAATTTAATAGTTCACCCAAACATATTAATGTCAAACATATTCAAGCCACCATAAAATAGAAATTGTGAACATTTGTTTAAATAAATTTAAATTGTTTTAAATTAATGCAGATGTAATGTTTGAAAGTGATGCAGAGCTGAATAATTAACCCTTTTGACAGAGAGCAAGCGAACAATCACTATACTGAGCGCAATCCAAAATTTCCTGCACTTCAGAAAGCAGAGGCTGGAAATGACTGCTGCCCACCAGCAAAGTTTTGTAAGATGCCGTTTTTAATATTTAAAAATGTTATTGACGCTTCTGTTGTCCACGAAGCAGTGACAATTTACATTAAATCAAAGCCATAACTTTTTTTTTTTGCTAATTGTATTTTTGTTTTTGTTAAACAGCGGTCCGATATGGACAGACTCCAGGCATACACAAGAGAAATAAAGGAAGCTGAGAGAAAGATTGAGAAACTAACGTAAGTGTTTGTCATATTTGTTTGGGGGGGGGGTTGGTCTTTTTGTTTCTTTTACCTATCTTGTCTTGACAGCACCATACCGCCAGAGCAGCAAGTAGAGGCTAAAGAACTGGCGGCCGTTCTGGCAGAGCTGACAACTAACACGCAGCATGAATATCAGGATGTGGTGAGTTGTCAGTGATTAAGTTTTGAATCTATATTTGTATGCTGTGTTCCAGTAGATAATAAGAACCTGATTGTGTGCATACTGTTTTGTTGCATAAATGGCCTCTTGATTTTATGATTCTGACGACTTCACTCCTGACATGATGCATTGAAAACTGGTATCACATGGCCCAGTGTTTTTCACTGCTTATCTTGCATGCCCCCCCCCCTTTCTTCTTTGTATTTGACTTTGTATGTTTTCTCTTTAGAGCGCAATGAATGAAAAGGTTGCTCAGTGCAAGACTGAAATTGCTGAGATATCACAGAAACTGGTATGTATCAGATCCGGTATTCATTTAGCAGACTTCATTCTCAGCTTTTGCATGAGGGTTAAAGTTGTGATGTAACAGGAGTAGTGACAGATCTTTGCTTCTGTATTATGAACGGTGTTCCCCAAAAATAAGTTGGGAAAGCCATGCGATTTGAAGTATAGTTAAGTGCGAAATAATTGCAATGCTCAGGCAAACCACTATAGATTTGGTGTCGCAATAGAGTTAGAACCGGTGAATAGAAAGATTGTGATGTGCGCCAAATGAGTCGCTGTAGAAATCAAATACTTTAATGATTGAGGATGAAATAGCTCAACACGAGAGCAAACCCAAGGACATGTTAAATAAAACATCATCTGTTTTAAAGAAGAGTGGCTTGATTAAGTGGGGGAAATAGCGGATGATGGGCACAAAACGGTAACAAAACTCAGACGTCTACAGTAGTGTGCAAACTACTAAATGGGGATGTTTAGATAACTAAAAGAGTTCACATGTTCATGTATTTTTATTGAAAATATAAATAAATAACTGCTTAATTTTCTCATATTAGCTATATTATATTATTGTTAAGAATTTAACTCCTCTGCATGCGATTTAAAAAAAAAAGATTTTTAAATAGAATTTCTTGGTAACAGCACTGTAAAAAATGTTTTCTCAGGTAACCTAAAATGTGCATCATTCAAGGGTCAAATCAAATATAAATAGCACATTACACAAGTTACACTCTTTTTTTTAATTTTTTTTTTGTGTGCGCACTGTACAGCTCTGGTATAAAGAATATTTTTGCTCAGGTGGCCGAAATGTCTGCCCAATAGAGATTTTTTTTGCTCGGCAAGAAAAAAAACATTAGAGGGAACATTGATTGTGAGGTACATCTGAGTGAAACAAATTGAGAGAAAAAAGCACATAGTCAGACCCACTCTTACAGTGGCTCCTCCCCTCAACTGTGGCCATCCCAATGGCCCTCCATCTGCCAAATCCACGTTAATAGTATTTTTATCATGGAATATTATTTTAAGGTCTAGACATGAAGTGTGGAATAAATATTTTGCAGTAGAATTTAACAACAAACATCTCAACCACCATTCACTGCCATTATAAAGCTTGGAAGAGCCAGGATATTTAATCTAACTCCAATTATCAAAGAATAATATATTGGAAGAAAGTCAGACACCCAAAGATGATCATGGGGTAATTTTCATTTTTGGGTGAACTATCCCTTTAAGTAGATGTTTTTTGAAATAACTGTTGCAGGTTACCAATTAGTTTTTTTAGTGGGAGTTTTTCTGTGCCCTTCTGGACACCCCATAAACAACACTGGAGGTGCCACTGCTCAGAATGAATTCAGTACATTTTTAAAAATATAATTTCTTTTTTTTTTTTTTTTCCACTTTTCCTGTTTTTAATCATAGCTTCCAAATTCTTAGGGTTTAATAACGGTGACCATTTTAAATAACGGGAAATTGAGGAGTCGGGTAATCGTGACATTCTTTTTGTCTACAAGCACCGTTTGATTAGTGCGTGGTTAATCATAAAAGCATGCATCACAATCCTGTTGTTAATATTAGGACAGGGCTCAGATGCTTTGTTCAGAGTTGCTATGGTTTCACTGAATGTGTGGGTGCTTGTTTGTGCACTCTGTTTTATATTACTGAAATTTTTTTTTTGCTCAAAAATGTTCCCTTACAGATCAGTAACATCCGTCTGTTTGTGTTTATATAAGTTCTCATCAACTTGTGTTCAGTTGTGACAATTCTAAGAAGCTGAACCTAATCATATCGATATGCATTTCAAATCACTTATGCATTTAGCTTAAAATCATGCAGTAAAATGACTTCCTTTACACCCTTGCAAATACTGTGCATAATAGCAAAAATTATGTTTCAAACATTGAAATATTAAGGATGTTGTACGCTGAGAATATGATCGGTGTTACTTGGTTTTCCAGACCGGAGTGTGGAAGCAGTGCGTTATTTTGACCCACTTTGGTTAAATTCACTTTCCATTCATATTTCATACTGTGGTTTGGAACCCGTCCAACTTGATATCATGGAATGTTATACAATTTCTAAAATCTTTACTAAAATTCTTAACTCTTAATTATACATTAAGACATTATGGTTATAGCAACAGTTAATTTTTGGCATGAAGATAGACTTTGAATGTAAACTATTTAACAATAGGTTTGTCATCTCCATGAAAAGGGTGTCATCTTTCTTCAAAGGGATAAGTAACCCAAGAAGGAAAACTGTCTTTTACTCACCTTCATGCTTTTCCAAACATGAGACTTACATTCGTAAAATAAGATATTTTCAATCTTTTGAAACTCCATGCCACCAGACCTCTAACCAAAAAGTACGAAGATCTCGTAAATCGAATTGATATGAATTAATCCAGTGGTCTCCAACCCTGTTCCTGGATAGCTACTGTCCTGCAGACTTCAGTTCTGAGCCTAATCCAACACACCTGAACCACACCTGGTTGGGGGTTGCTTGATAATTACAGGCAGGTGTGTTGGAGCAGGGCTGCAACTGAAGTCTGCAGGATGGTAACTCTCCAGGAACAGGGTTGGAGATGCCTGCTATAATCCATATGTTCTGAGGAGAGATCTTCTATGTGATGGACAAATTTAATTTAGGCTTTTATTCATCTATAAGCACTGATCAACACACAACAAATATAGTAAGTTAATGTGTGCTTGACACTCAAGAGCCAATGAGGTCAAGCAAGCATGGTTGAGCTTCTGCATGGGCAAATGTTTTGACTATCCCTGTAACTTTGTATGATAACATGTAATGACCAAAAATATTTACCATTTATGTGGACAGGATGGTAACTCTCCAGGAACAGGGTTGGAGATGCCTGCTATAATCCATATGTTCTGAGGAGAGACAATATCTTCTATGTGATGGACAAATTTAATTTAGGCTTTTATTCATCTATAAGCACTGATCAACACACAACAAATATAGTAAGTTAATGTGTGCTTGACACTCAAGAGCCAATGAGGTCAAGCAAGCATGGTTGAGCTTCTGCATGGGCAAATGTTTTGACTATCCCTGTAACTTTGTATGATAACATGTAATGACCAAAAATATTTACCATTTATGTGGGTAGTAAAATAAAATGAAATTGAATTTTGTTTAATGCACATCAGAAACTCAATGAAATCTTATCTTATTATTTGTCATTTATTGTTTTTCTGTATTTGTTTGTGATTGGAATATGAAGTGCAAAGTGTTTTTTTTAATTTCCCTACAGACTCAAAGGAAAGTGGATGTGGCGACACTGAAGGACAAGATAGCCAAGCTCAAGTCTCAAATTGTGGAATCGCCTGAAGAACTAAAAAATGAGATGGAAAGGATGAAAGAGAATGTGAAGAGCATTAGGATGTCCAAAGTATGTATAATTAGCATGCTCCTTAGGCAATGTAAAACTTTAGCTTACAACAAGCAAGCTGTTTTTTTTCCATTTATTTATTTTATTAATTGCACAGGTGAACAGATCTTTGTTCTCACACTGATTATTGGTGTTATCATCAGTTTGATTGACTGTCTGCTGTTTCCCTGTGTGTCTGTGACAGGAGCTGGCTGATGAAAGGTTGGTGGAGCTACAGATGCTGGTGCAGTGTGCAAGTCAGGTGGAGGCAGAAATCCAGGTCTTGCTCAAACAGCTGCAGGACTTGCAGAGCACCATGTGCAAGACTAACCAGCAAAAAGAGGAGGTAAAGCTCAGATACACGTCGTAGGCCACGTTCACACAGCAGCAGAATACAGTTGTCAGTCCTGTAATTGAGTCTCTTATCTTATTATTTGTCATTTATTGTTTTTCTGTATTTGTTTGTGATTGGAATATGAAGTGCAAAGTGTTTTTTTAAATTTCCCTACAGACTCAAAGGAAAGTGGATGTGGCGACACTGAAGGACAAGATAGCCAAGCTCAAGTCTCAAATTGTGGAATCACCTGAAGAACTAAAAAATGAGATGGAAAGGATGAAAGAGAATGTGAAGAGCATTAGGATGTCCAAAGTATGTATAATTAGCATGCTCCTTAGGCAATGTAAAACTTTAGCTTACAACAAGCAAGCTGTTTTTTTTCCATTTATTTATTTTATTAATTGCACAGGTGAACAGATCTTTGTTCTCACACTGATTATTGGTGTTATCATCAGTTTGATTGACTGTCTGCTGTTTCCCTGTGTGTCTGTGACAGGAGCTGGCTGATGAAAGGTTGGTGGAGCTACAGATGCTGGTGCAGTGTGCAAGTCAGGTGGAGGCAGAAATCCAGGTCTTGCTCAAACAGCTGCAGGACTTGCAGAGCACCATGTGCAAGACTAACCAGCAAAAAGAGGAGGTAAAGCTCAGATACACGTCGTAGGCCACGTTCACACAGCAGCAGAATACAGTTGTCAGTCCTGTAATTGAGTCCTTAATATGGTTACGTTCACACACAGTACGGTTAAATGACGGGAGTGACAACCGCATTCTATAACCGAACTTTTGTGTTCTGCGCGCGACTTCAATGCTCCGCTCTCCACCCAGATATTAAAGCTGCAGACGTTTATTGAAGATTTGACCGGTGAACTCGCGGCTTGATTGGAGTCTTGTCATGTCAAAGAGTTAAACAACTTTTCAGTTTTATGGACATCGCCATCTTTCATATTGCTGTCGCTATGGTTACTGGTTAGAAATAGGGGCTTGGCTCGTTCACACAGACACTATTCGAGAAGTAAGCTGCTGTGTGAACGAGGCATTTAGAGACACATACCTGTAAGTAAATGAGGTTGTCAATCCCAAAAACTGACAGTGTGAACGTAGCCATACAGTTGCCTACATTGCAGCATGAGTGACAGACCATTGGCAATAAGTGCATGCTTCATAAATAAGTGTCGATGTCTTTCAACAACCCTCTACGGACACCTTGGCAATTGAATCGCCATTGGCTAGTACATTTTTTTTTGTTTATTTGCCAGACTGAAATACTATACTATTATTAGAGTGTACTTTGAGCAAAGATCTATAGAGATCAATGCAGAGTGATGGTTGAATAATAATGAATGGAGTTTTGTATGAAACATGATGTCATCCACTAACCTCAACAAACTGCAAAACATATTGATGGTACTTACATAACTTTTGGTGAGCAGTCACTATATGGGGTAAGTTGTTACTATGGGAACAGAATATTATAGGGACTTTTAGCTACTTTTATAATCATGATTTATTGTTAAACCTATCTGTGCAACTGGAAGATGGGTTTAGCTGTGCCATTTTACAAACACACACACACACACACACACACACACACACACACACACACACACACATAAACGTTTTTTTTTTAAACTAGAAGCATGGACTGCTTGAACTTGCACTTCAACACTTTTATGAGTCTGGTCAAGCATGACACATCTTGAGAAGTTACTCCTATTTGCGTGACATTTGCTTGCCATTTGCGTGTCTATTGTTCATGATTGTGCACTTTAAACTGTCATTTGCTTGCTGCTCTTTTGTCAGAAACACCTTATTACTTAATACCTACAGTATGTGTTGACAGATTGCCCTCTACAATGCCTATACCCAAAAATAGTCCTATATAATTGATGTTTAAAATCTTTAATTATAACAAATGAGATCTGCAAAACATTCAGACAAACTGAAGAATGAATGTAAAGTCATCAGTAATTTTTAATACACGTGTGTTGCATTTAGGCCTGTCCATCATATAGGCAATACAGGCAATTGCATGTGAACCAGAAAGTTTCTTCTGACAGGAAAGCTGTTTAAAAGGTGAAAAAATGCTTTATCCAACAAAGAGTTACTGAAAGCACTCAGTTATGAAATATAATGGGGATTTGGCATAGGCTCGCCTTTCACCTCAAACTAATCTAATATCTGAATCACTAGCATTAATCATTTATGTGTGCTGCAGGTAAGAACGGGATAGTGAGTGGGCTGTTTACAGAAGGAGGAGGTCTCCCGTTCTCCCTGTTCTACATTTGATAAGTAGTCATTGAGAAAATCTGTTAGGTTTATGGCATATGATTGTGTGTGTTTGTGAGACACTGGATAGTAAATCAATAAATGCTCTTATTCATGTTTTGATTTTCTGTAGCTGCACGGAGTGTGTGTAGGCAATGTTTTTTCTTAAGAACACTCAAGAGGGTCTTAGCCTTAGTTTTATATTTGCATAAACATTAACAGATAAAATGGTGACTTATTAGAGTGTGCTTTGAGCAAAAATCTACAGAAATCAATGCAGAGTGATGGTTGAATAATAATGAATGGAGTTTTGTATGAAAAAGGATGTCATCCACTAACCTCAACAAACTGCAAAACATATCGATGGTACTTGCATAACTTTTGGTGAGCAGTCACTATATGGGGTAAGTTGTTACTATGGGAACAGAATATTATAGGGACTTTTAGCTACTTTTATAATCATGATTTATTGTTAAACCTATCTGTGCAACTGGAAGATGGGTTTAGCTGTGCCATTTTACAAACACACACACACACACACACACACACACACACACACACACACACACACACATATAATATATATATATAACCATGAACTTCGGGCTGGTGCTTTTTTTTTTTTGATCATTCAGTGTTCCTGTAAAAAATGGGGGCAAAAAACTAACAATAATACTGATAAGATCTTATTATTATTATTATGCGAACAATATAAAGCGCACCAAGGATTAACGAGCTTCTGGATTCATGAATATTAATCCGGTTGTGTGCATTCGCTCGAACTGATTTGCTGAAATCTAAACCGGGATGATAATAGGCGAGCACCAGCCAATGAGATTGTCGTTTGCGCATTAGTTCCACCCACTACCGGAAAACCCGGCATTTCTTAAAAGCTGAAGAATTCCAAAGGAACTCTGTTATTTTGACAGGAAAATACAACAAATAATATTGTTTACATGGATCATATCAATTCTGCATGTTATGTAAGTCTCTCTCTCTCTCTCTCACTTTGCGTGTGTGAGAAAGCATCAGCGAGTCGTGCGCCTTCACACTAGAGTTTACGTTATGCCAAATACACAAACACAGGTGTGCTACGCATCCATTGAGATGAAATGATAAATAGAACCGATCGCTTGACGGAGAGTGAAACTCTGAAGCGCTCAGTCAGAGTGTTAGGCGAGTGAAAATATATCTGTTAAACTTATACTCAGCCTCCAACTCACACACTGGCGAGTAAAATCTGAGAATTTATTAGCAATTGGCTAATATTAGACATCATTTAGTCGCCCAGAGTGAAGATTTAGTCGCATATGCGAGTGATTTACTCGTAATGTAGAGGGTTGTTCAATAAAGTAATGTCTGAGTATTTTCAAACTTCTCTTTCTGTAATTTGTACGTAAAAATGAATGGAATTGCAGTGTTTATCGGCTGATTGGACTGGACACAACATTGGTGTTTGCTGAAAGTATTAAAAGCCTAAAAATCTTTTTTTCCAGTTATGTTTGGTATTGCCATTCATGCAGAAATGTACATTTGAGTTCCTTGATTTTATTTTTTATTTTTTGTTCTTCACCCTTTCTAAATGATCTTTTATTATACAGGTCCAGAGTTTAGCAGCCATGAATGAAACCTTGCAGAAAGAGCTGAAGAGCCTGAGCAATGAAGAGGCTCAGATGAAGAGGGCACTTGCCATGAAGCTCGACAAGGAGTCTAAACAACAGATTCGTCGACAGAAGAAAAAAGAGGTGAAAGATCAGGAAGTCAAAAATATTTATGGGTAAGTGTAAAATATAATCTAGTTTTTAAACTGCTTTGTTGTTTTTTTTTGTGCTTTTTTGAATGATGCCTTTAATTCATTTGGTACCGGTTATAAATGGCATAAAAAAGTAGTGGTCGACCGATATATCGCCAAGGCCGATATATCGGCTGATATTTAGCATTTTTAAAATATCGGCATCGGCCGACAAGATGCGTTCGAGGCGGAACTTTTATTTGATTATTTTATTGACAGCTGCAGCGCCTGAGCACACAGTGCTCTCATTCTCCCTCTTGTTCGCTGTTGTTGTTCAGTTCTGTCGAATACGGACAGAAGAATATTAATCCGGTTGTGTGCATTCGCTCGAACTGATTTGCTGAAATCTAAACCGGGATGATAATAGGCGAGCACCAGCCAATGAGATTGTCGTTTGCGCATTAGTTCCACCCACTACCGGAAAACCCGGCATTTCTTAAAAGCTGAAGAATTCCAAAGGAACTCTGTTATTTTGACAGGAAAATACAACAAATAATATTGTTTACATGGATCATATCAATTCTGCATGTTATGTAAGTCTCTCTCTCTCTCTCTCACTTTGCGTGTGTGAGAAAGCATCAGCGAGTCGTGCGCCTTCACACTAGAGTTTACGTTATGCCAAATACACAAACACAGGTGTGCTGCGCATCCATTGAGATGAAATGATAAATAGAACCGATCGCTTGACGGAGAGTGAAACTCTGAAGCGCTCAGTCAGAGTGTTTGGCGAGTGAAAATATATCTGTTAAACTTATACTCAGCCTCCAACTCACACACTGGCGAGTAAAATCTGAGAATTTATTAGCAATTGGCTAATATTAGACATCATTTAGTCGCCCAGAGTGAAGATTTAGTCGCATATGCGAGTGATTTACTCGTAATGTAGAGGGTTGTTCAATAAAGTAATGTCTGAGTATTTTCAAACTTCTCTTTCTGTAATTTGTACGTAAAAATGAATGGAATTGCAGTGTTTATCGGCTGATTGGACTGGACACAACATTGGTGTTTGCTGAAAGTATTAAAAGCCTAAAAATCTTTTTTTCCAGTTATGTTTGGTATTGCCATTCATGCAGAAATGTACATTTGAGTTCCTTGATTTTATTTTTTATTTTTTGTTCTTCAACCTTTCTAAATGATCTTTTATTATACAGGTCCAGAGTTTAGCAGCCATGAATGAAACCTTGCAGAAAGAGCTGAAGAGCCTGAGCAATGAAGAGGCTCAGATGAAGAGGGCACTTGCCATGAAGCTCGACAAGGAGTCTAAACAACAGATTCGTCGACAGAAGAAAAAAGAGGTGAAAGATCAGGAAGTCAAAAATATTTATGGGTAAGTGTAAAATATAATCTAGTTTTTAAACTGCTTTGTTGTTGTTTTTTTTGTGCTTTTTTGAATGATGCCTTTAATTCATTTGGTACCGGTTATAAATGGCATAAAAAAGTAGTGGTCGACCGATATATCGCCAAGGCCGATATATCGGCTGATATTTAGCATTTTTAAAATATCGGCATCGGCCGACAAGATGCGTTCGAGGCGGAACTTTTATTTGATTATTTTATTGACAGCTGCAGCGCCTGAGCACACAGTGCTCTCATTCTCCCTCTTGTTCGCTGTTGTTGTTCAGTTCTGTCGAATACGGACAGAAATCTGTCTAATAATCAGATAGAATGGTTAAACAAAGGAATTCAAATGTAAACAAAAAGTATTATGACGATTGCTTTTATATTATTAGTAATAGAAAGGCAAACATTATAATACTTGTTTTCCATCAGCATTTAGCAAATATGCATTTATATCATTTAAACAAATCTTTGAATGACTAATGAACATCTAATTTCAAAAACCTTGCAAACTTAGTTGGATCCAGTTGAGATCTTGTGAAGTGTGCACGTGTATCCTGCATGATCGCGTGTTCTCTGCGTGACGGTCGATCCGTGCGAATGCAATGCAGACAGGAGGAGAGTTCAGCTTCACTGGAGACGCGCGATCGACAAACTTTACACTCGTTATTTCAAATTATGCTGCGCTTTATGCCTTTGCCCACTGCCATATTCATGTGATTTCCACTGTGTGCTGTATGAAAAATGAGTGTTACCTGGGCTTTATTTGGAAAAAATATGATTCCCAATGCGCACAAACTTCCCAGAATACCGAGTGCCCTGTTGGTTACAGTGTTTACTTCCTATTTTTTATTAAATATTTATTTGTGAAAAATACTGTCATCTTAAGTATAAGTATGTTTATTTAACACATTTACTTTTTAATTCATTTTCAAATGATTTCAAATTTCTTAAATTAATTAAAATAAATAAAATTAAATCGGCCATCGGCCACCCTGCTTTCCAAGATATCGGCATCGTCTGTCAAAAAACCCATATCGGTCGACCACTATAAAAAAAAAGCATAAGTAGCGTAAAAAAAATCAAGATCAAACATTAGCATTTTTCTTAAACCTGTTTGCATTAGTAGACACTGATTCGTCCTCTAGATTACGGTCATGTTTTACATTATTGATTTTTGCTGTTCTTGCACCTGAAGAAAGTTAAATACTTTCTAAATGAGTATTTTCACTTTTTGGTGAAAATTTAGCACATATGTATGAAGTGTCTAGATTAGGTGGTGTAAGAATTAATTTATTATTGCTGAAATTTGGAACTGTACAAACAAGATTTTTTTTCTTAATCTGCCCTGTGGTCAAATGTTTGAGTTTCAATTTGTGCAGAAGAACTTTTCCACCCATTACTTTGGGAAGTATTATTTTCCAGAATTATTGGGAATACCTAATCTTAATAGCTAAAGATTAGGGTCACAGCAGACCCACTCTAACCTTTTTTCTGTTCCCTGTGAAAAAGAAGCACTTGCTTGTAGGGCTGTGCGATATGGACAAAAACAACCTATCGCGATTTCTTTGATCAATTTTGACTTTGTAACTTTACAGTCATTAATGCATTCAGTGTGAATTTGAAACATATTTCCAATAGAAAACCAATTAGAGCTTTATCAAGAAGCTGGAACATGTCTCTAGAACAGACATAAGGCAAAATAATCACTTAGTAAAGGTGTAACAAAATGTCTCTAGAATAGACACATATGGCAGAAGAAAGAAAAAATCCCTTGTCCAGAGTCATGCATTGGTCATAAAGCTCTTTGTGGCGTTGCCTCAGATGCTGAACTAGATTTGTTGAGCCAGGTTCACACGTACTCCATCTGCAGTGCGTACAGTACGTGTATGCGGTGCAGAAGCGGCACGGACTCATTGTGCTTTCGCACAGGACGCGTTTGCAGTCCGCTCCTGATCCGCGGATGTTTACCACAAACACAACATTTATACATTATGTTGATTTCAAATCCAAACATTGTTTCTGAAAATGCTTTTTCAGCATTGTGGTTTTCTTTTATCACAGTACAGTAATACAATCTTTCATAGACATATTCACGTTTAAACTCAATAAATATAACTTTGTTTAACTACCACCACGAGTGCCATCTAATATTGCCTTGTTTATCTAAAAGTGCACTTTTCCTTGTTTTAAATCTAGCCAAAAAAGCCATGTGTTGACTGAAACAGTAGACTTTAATTATATGCATGTATGGTGTAATTAGTACATTGCCATGTCAATCCATGTTCATTTTTACTGCGAATAATACGCTGTCACTTTAATACTGCGCGTGCAGCACAGCAGAAATAGACTCCGTGCGGAAACGATCGCAGCACTGCTGCAGACGCACCGCTCCTGGAGCGCACTGCCGGACCGCAATCGCGTGCAGTGTGAACGCTCGGATCCGTTAACATGGGCGCCGACAAAATACACACCACAGACGGAGTGTGTGAACTTGGCATTACATTTGTATGCCCGCCTGGTCTGTTTTGTTATTAGGCGCGCTGCATTCTGATTGGTTCAGATAGCATACTGCGGGAGGTCGGGGCGCGGAAAATTGTGCTATAAAGTGATTTAGAAATCTCAAGCTCAAATCGCGATTTTATGACGATTTCGATTAATCGTACAGCCCTACTTGCTTGTACACCTTACAAAACATATTGGTGTCTTCATCTGACACCAACGAAGAAGTGGTGTTTATTTTATTTTATTTTTTTCATTTACAAAAACACCTTTTTTCCCCTTCTTATTTGCAGTGTGAAATGGTTTCCGAGCCTGTGTCTTTTGTGTTGATTAATTTTGTTTAACAGGCTCTTAGAGACGTAAGGAAGCATCACGTTGACTCTGGAGAATCACCCTGTGCTCTAGTTGAATGTTCTGATTTGATCAAGGAAGTACTTGGACTGAAATGTTTGAGAACCACTGTTCTAACTTTCTGTTTTTTATTTTATTTGTATGTATTTTTTTTATTCAGGCAATATGACAAAATCCACCAGAAACGGGAGGAAATCGTGAAAATGATAGAAGAAAGCAACCGTGAAACTAAACAGTTCAAGGAAAAGATGCAGAAGCTTAGAGAAAAGTGCAACCAGCAAACTCAAAAAGCCCAGGTGCACTTACTTTTCAATAATTCTTAAGTAAATGTAGTTCTTAGCTGGGGTCTGAGCTCTCATGAAGTTGTGGTGTGAACGAGAATGGGTCTGAGATCCCTTCAGTACTGAAGAGGAACAACAAAAGAAACAAGTTCTCTTTTGAGTTCACTATACTTTGAACACCAAAAGGACTGAAATCACTTTAGGCTGGTTCCCTTTCTGGTTCACTTTAAGTGAACTGGGTTTGGTTCTTTTAATTCGAGTTATATGTGCAAACACCCAATGATAGCAGTTTTTTGTTACAATCTTCTGTTTGTTCTTTAGCATGTTCATTTAAATGGGCTAGTTTAATTATGTGTCATAATATCTATTCCTTTTCTTCCACAGGAGTTCTATGAACGTCTTCTCACAACTTTGGAGCAGTACAACAAGCGGATTGAGAGCATTGTGGTGGAGACCAATGCAGACACCTTAAAAATGAAATCACATTTCTAGAATTTCTATTTTATACTCTTTACTGTTATTTTTAAATCCATGCATTTGTTCAGTGTCTGTGTTTTGTCATTTCTAAGTGTATTTTCTCCTAATAGAATTGTAGTTGAATGCTAGGTGGCAAAAAGTTACTTACCGGTCTGCCTATACAGGTGACTTCTAACACCAGTATTGTTCTTATATAAAACTCTTTTATTGGGAACATTTGAGTGTCGCCTGTTCAAATGAAGTTTTAATGGATTTGTTTTAAAGGGGTGGGATTCAGGGTATCAGGTTTTTATTTTGGTGTACATTCAAAACTGTGTTTGAACACTAATGTAATTATTGTATTTTTTTAGTTCTTGGTCTGAGCGGGCCTTTAAACTATGACCTCTGATCCTGTGATGGCCTTTATGATTCAACTGGGCTCAGATTCAGAGAAAATCTAAAAATATATATCAAATCAGATGCACAGTAGAGGTGGTGATGCAGCTATGAAAGGAGGAGTACATGAAAAAAAAAAAAAAAAATACACAACCAAGGCAACTTCTGAGTTACGCTACCAGTAACAGTATTTCGATAACCACCTAAAAAAAAGTCTTCATTTTATCAGTGATCACGTACAGATTTCGGATACAATGCTTATACGTCTCCTATAACACAAGTCTTCAACCCTGCCCCTGGAGACCCGCTATCCAGCTAAGTTCAGTTCCATTTTATCCTGAAAATGTTGAGCTTGATTAGGGTTGGAGCTAAACTTTGCAGTACAGTGGGTCTCCAGGAGCTCTGTCCTATAACATATGTAGCACTTTATGTTGTAACTTAATGTAATGCCAGCAGAGAGCATCCAGATTTGAATCTTAGACTTTGTGACTCCGTTAGACCAGTTAGACATCTTCAGGGTGTTACATACATATTCTCATCTCAACCACTAGATGACGCACGGGAGCACTGCATTTCACACCAAAACTAATGTGCTCTTCTGCCCCCCTCAAGCAACACATCAAGAAAACAAGATTTAAAACGATCTTTTTCTGAAAGCCAGACATATGTTTATTTTATATTTGTGTCTTAGGATATTCAGGAGTCTGCTGGCTGTGTATAATGACTAAGCAATAATTCTTTGTGGTTCTTTTGTTGATTCTGGATTCATTGTTGCTTCAATCAGTTGGATTTAACCAGGCTTCATAGATCAGGGGGCCCCCTCGGTTGAAATCATGGTTGAAGCTAGTCCGGGCCTGGGACAAAAAGTCCAGTTGCCCTCTCTTTTTCACGGCCACAACTTTTATAAATCATCTGAACAAAACACTTGAAGTGTTTTCACTGTGGCACACTGTTTACCAGACACTATTTTTGCAACTTTTTTTACATTTATTTTTTTTTGCTTTCTTTTTGCTTTTCTCAAGGCATTTCTCCTTGAGAGCGATTAACTGATAAACTCGGTGACGCCATGATAAGAACTGACATGGAAATGTATCCAGCATCAGTTTTGCCAGCTGCAGCAGCTTAAGGGTTAAACCAGGGGTGTCAAACTCAGTTCCTGGAGGGCCGCAGCCTTGCAGCGTTTAGTTCCAACACACACATGTAGTTTTCAAATAAGCTTGAAGGACCTGATTAGCTGGATCAGGTGTGTTTAATTAGGGTTGGAGCTAAATTCTTGTCTTGTCCAAATACCCACACTTGCGGTCTTTGCACTTGACCACTTATGACGCATTTCCTGTATTTGGTCCAAGTGTTAAAGTGAGCAGGAAGACCACAAGTGTGTACAACTACACATTATATACAATTTATCGAACTCTTCATATCGTTTTTTCGAGGAAAGTTATATCGCCCAGCTCTAGTTACAATAAAAGAACTTGTAGATTTAAAAAATGTAAATGCTGCCTTCAGTTGACTAACGCTGTCTTTATTCTCACATAGAAATTGTAAAATTCATTTAGAGCTTTTTTTAATTTAACCCACTTTATTTTCCTCATCCATTTCAGATAAAATTATATTACATAAACTGTATTTATAAAATTATTTTTATTTACAAGTGTCATATGTTATATTTTAGTTATGTAGGACCGCTTCTGACCTTGAAAAACTCATTACATCAACACTATTTATTCAGATGCAGACACAACCTGTTATTCTTTTTGTGAGCATTTTTATTTTTGATAAGCTGCAGAATTTTTCCAAGACACTATTTCTTCATCCGTGAAACAATACTATTATTAAAATGTGTACATCAAATGATTTTTATTTCGAAGTGTTGTATTGGTACTTGTTTATGGAGACAATTTAAATCCTTCAAGAAATATCCAAAAGCCCCCAACTTGCAAACCTGAAACCTACCTTCCTTCTCCGATTTATTAAAGCTACATTGCATTTTACAAACAAACTTTCAGTCAGCAGTGAATTGCAATTAATAACTCAAATTGTCCTCTCCAAAAGCATAAAAAAGCGTTTTGATTCTCGATTGCCACTTTGCAGCCTTAAAGCCCAACACTTGATCCTAGAAGGCGGTTTGATTTCGGCGAGTAAATCACCTCTAGTGGCTTGTGGTCGGTTACCATAGAAAATGCTTTCCCATACAGGAAAACACGGAACTCCTCACAAGCTCACACTATGGCAAGTGCTTCTCTTTCAGTTTGAGAGAACTGCATTTCCACATCAATCAAAGCATGACTGGCTTGAATGCATTGTCTGCTTATACTTGACTCAAGATCGCTCCAGGCCCTACTGGATTGGAGTATAAATAGTACGCCAAATAAAAACGAAAACTCGTATTTATACGCAAAAATGGACTTTGGCATGTATATGCTACGCGATTGGTAGGTTTAGGGTTGTGGGGTAGATGCGTGTCATATGTACGCAAAAACGGCGTATTATATGCACGCCAAAGTAAATTTTTGCGTATCAATACCGCAAGTTTTCGTTTTTATTTGGCGTACTATTTATACGCACTTTCATGAGTCCAGCGTCTGGGTATGCAGGTGCATATGGGCCCGGGCAGTTTGGAAAATAAGGAAAACAAACCGGATGCGCTTTTCTGTCGTCTTGGTCTTGAGCAGGAGCGCTTCACCGACATGATAAATATATCTATAGAATGCTTTCAATTACTATTTTAAAACGAAATAATTCAATTCGAAAACAAAAACTCTTTCATTATGCAATCCGTGCATTTCTCCCTAAAGGCCCATCCAATGAGGAGATGGTGAGTCAGGTTCATTCATTTTTGCAACATTGACTCAGAAAACATTATTAGCAAATAATTCAAATATCCCCTCACTATTTTTTTACTTTTTTTTGTTTGTTTTTGGGCCGCTGTGCCAAAATTGTGTTTGCATTCAGTAGCCTATACTGCAGCATTTTTGTGTTACGTTTAAAAATAACTAAAGATTAACATCATAATAGTTTAAGAATAAAGTCAAAATTACAACAATAAAATCATTTTATATTGCATGATGTTAATGTGAAAATTCCACCTATAGGCCTACTCCTCCAAAAAAAAAAAAATCTTTGGCATCTGTCATTTGGACTTTTTTAAAACTCCGATTGAGCTATTCATGAGACATTCGTTTGTATGAAATTGTTCTGATTTTTTTCAACATGCATTCAAATATTCATGTTTAGTTCGTGCTGCAAATATTAAAGAGGAAAATATCATTGATTCATATGCAGCTTGAACTGAAGCGAATTATCTCACTACAAATTAAAGAGCGTAAAAAGACGTTTATTGTTTGTATGTTATCATAAAATTGACAGAAGGCTGAGACTTTGTAGTAACAAAGCACAAAGCTGTGATTATTGGGTGGCTTGTGTGCTACAAATAATGAATGGACTTGAAAACTTTAAACATAATTTCTAAGCATTAGCCTAGACCGTAAATAAAACAGCTTGTGAATTGTCACGATTCACGTAACGTTATTTACTTCAGAAAAAGCAACAATAGGGCCTAAGTTAAGTTAACCGAGTTGGAGCCCATAACGTTTGGGGGGGCCCGTACAAATTTTTTGCATATTGGCCCGGGGCTGACTTGCTACACCACTGGCTGGCCTCTACGATAACCTGTGGTACTAACCTACAATAACCTCCTGGCTATAATACTGTAAGCCATTGTTTGTGAACTCGTCAGTGCCATCTTCAAACCCTTGAACGCAGCCTCTTGTTCTTTTCCCCATGACCATGTACATGTTGACCTAGTGAATCACCTCAAAGGTTCTGCAATAGTAGCCAGGTAGGGAATGAATCAGCCACAGTGATTAACCAAGCCAAGGAAACTCCTAACCTCAGTGGCATTATTTTGCTGTCGAGTGTTTTGCACTTGTACCACTCTTTTACCTGCATAGGACAGTGTGTGTGACAATTGTAGTCAATACTTATGACCCAGGTTCCGACACAATTTGGTGATATCCCCATTTCAAATCCAACTTGGAGAACAATTCAGCACCCATCATGTCCTCCAGAAAGTCATCAATGATGGGGAAGATTGTACTGCTCAAGCAAAACAGCCTCATGTCCACACAAATCCTGATGTCTCCACCTTTTTTATGCACCACCATGAGTGGTGACACCCATGGAGTAGGCCCTTCTACCTTTACAATGACATCCATTCCTTCAAACTGCTGCAATTTTTCATAATTTTTAGCTTCCCCAAACCATCTAAATATGCTTTGTACTCCCGCTATAATCACATCGCCAATTTAGAAGCATCCTCGTGCACACAACTTTTTAAGCCTGGTTCTCATGGGAGCACTTAGAGATTGGAATTGGTACTCACCCTGTGCGCAGCGAAACTAAACATCATCTTCCTCACAGCCCTCCTCACTGTCTGCCTCATTGTCCTCAATTTCAACTGTAGTACAGGACGAACTTGCTGCCTCCTGGATGGTGGAAGTGAATGTACTTCCCTGGTTAAGTCTACGATGGGCTGTCTGCATCCATAGCTCTACTGCTGCATTTGGGTCAAATGTATCTGTAGTCATCTTTGACAAATGAATGGGGCCAGGTTGATGCATCAAAAACCAAAAAGTGATCACATGACTTCAGAGATTCATATCTGCTTTCAAACTCTCCAATTAAACATCTGAAT